TGTGTGTGTGTGTGATCTGTATAATGGGTTTTGTTGTTCCCAAAACAGATGAAGACTGAGATTAGGCTTAAAGGGGGCAGTGCATTTATTAGGCTTTCATTTCTGTGAGAACCATAATCCCAATAGAAGTAAAAGCTTTATTAGCTCATGAATTTTTGCTGCCTGTTTGTCTGCCCGACATTATTTGCGCCGGGGCCTCGTATTAGTGCGTTAAAGTGACTCTGAACTGAATGTCCTCTTCACAACTCGCTGTAATACATTACAACCACAACTAGCTTCAACAGCTGTTTGTTTGAAATCATTTTAGTGACTTCTATAAAAACATGCTCTCACTTGATTTGGATTTAGGCTTATTTTTCTAAAAGTGCAATATTTGTAATGGTTTTTATCAAAGCAAAGTGTGTCCAGCTCAGCAGAAGAAGAAGAAGGGAAAGCAAATAGAGGAAGACAGAATACTATAAAGTGTCAGGATTTCACAAGGTTCATGACACAAAACTGCAGGAAGTTTGCGAGAAAAGCTCTTTCCTGATGTTTGTAACCAAGTAAGGGGGCATGTGCAGTGGAGATTAGTGACAATAGTTACGTAAAATCTTTTTCTATAGCCCCTGATTTTAAGTGTGTAAGGGACTTTACAGAATGAGCCTACCAAAATCTAATAAATCATTAATCAAAAGTGAAAAAATGCAAACAAAACACGAAATAAGACAAACATGCCTACATAGCATAACCAAGCAAGCGAACACGGATTTAAACAATGCACGATTTAAAATGAAGAAACAGATGAATGAAGAAACACTGAATATAAACATGACTTTGTGTTCAAGAACTACAACTCCGCATTTAACTGATTGTTCGGTTAATAATCGAGCACATAGTCAATGAAGCTTCTAGTACAACTTGCACATTACGTCAGTACACATGAATAGATTTCACTGTGAAATAATATATTCAGTAGAAGGAAGAAAAGCCAACAACGTGTTTTCAAGAGAGATCAGGGCAACGGGACATGCAGAAGATGCCAGGACAAACCAGTAAAATGATTGATTGCATTGATAACATGAAGGCAAAGAGAAACACTTATCAAGACTGAGGCGACATATCAAACTCTCCATGTCGGCTGTAAAGAAGAGTGCTGTAACAAGCGGTGTGCGCCAAATAAACTTTGCCCCGTCTGAAAGACACATTTACTTCACGTTTCTCTTCCCCATCTGTCTCTGCCATATTCCTCACCGCCTTGCCTTATTGAGTTCTCGAGGCGTCCAACGATCCCTCTCATCCAGACACTAAACTTCATCATTCCTCACTCCTGAAACTTTATTGAAAAACATCACAACCTCCTGCAGCCACCTTTTGAAATCAGAACTTGTAGTGGGTAAACCAGCCGGGTGCAGTGACTCCAGTCCCTGGAAAGCACTGCCATTAAGGGGAAGTGCAACTGGTGCTCACTTTCAGCATTGTTCTTTCAGTGTTGAGTACCCGTATAGTTTGTATGGAACCGAGAATATGAGTCTTCTGCGTGCAGGTGTGGCTATTTTTACCACAAGCTGCAGTCGAACAACGTCCTAGAAATATTCTCGGATGTAGAATCTGGTTAAGTGAGAAAAGTATGACGCATCGAATTCTTGCCCCAAAAAAACATGCATAGATGTTTTGTATTGTAGTTGTTTAAATGATCAAAACTTACTCAATAGATGAGAAAAATACCTTTTATTAAGACTGGATAAAATGTGTTTCTTTCCCAAAAATTGTAGATTAAATATATTTTCACCTGCGTACTAAACCCGACCAGTCAAGTGTGTAGTGTAGAAAACATATACAAAGGAGAAGAGGATTTTGTGAACATATTTCACAACAGCTTTCAACTCGAAATCTGAGTCAGGTTAGTGTGTGTGTGTGTGTGTGTGTCCGCGAGTGACAGCGTCAGAGAGAGGATAATCACAGTGTCTAGAGACGGAGGGAGAGAGAGAGAGATGTGTGTGTTTTGTGTATGTCATAAAGAGGAGGAGCAGTTCCTCTGTTTTTTTTCAGTCTGCAGTCATTCAAGTTGAACAGGCGGTCTGCTCCTGCTCCTTCATCCTCGTGTTGATACTCTTCACTCTTCACTGCTCATTGCTGGGGGGCAGATTACTTCATCCGCTCAGAGATTAGATGACACGATGTTGAACTTTTCCCTGTCACGATCTTTGTTCAGTCGGGGGTTTGAAAGCTTTTATACTTATTAATGTTAGTAAGTTAAACCTAAATGTAAATGATTGAGTGAGGGATTTGGATTCAATAAAATGACCAGATATGACAGAAATTAACTTTTTTAATTTACCTATTATTCCCAGGATGGGTGGAAGTCATGTTCTGTTTCCCAATACAGTTGTAGTTTGCTCTATAATGGTGATTCACCATTGGTTTTATTATTGGTTTAATTTTAGGGTCTTAATTGAAAACATTATTTTACCATTGACATTAACTGCTTTTAGATGCTTTTAATCCTCACAGTACTCAGATCACTCATTAATATGTTGGTGTTGGAAGAACTGGCTGCAGTTTCATTTTAAATTCTCCTCCTATAAAGTCACCACAGTCACTAACCCCTGAGTGGCAAACACAAAAAGTCTGAATCAGCCGAAGGGGAGAAAAAGACGCACACATATAAAACACTGCTAAAATGGTTGAGAGCTGTTGTGCAGTCAGCTGAAAACAATCTTTTAGAGACTGCTAAAGGCTAAAGAGAAGAAGTAAGTAATTCTGTCTAATAGGGTCCTCTGGATAAAATACATAACATGATGGCAAATATATATATATATTTATATATTGTGT